GCTTAATGGGTGTCAATCTGAAAAATTAAGTAAAATTTCAATAAATATATTCTTGCTTTCAGAGAATCCACAATGTTCTGTTCATGTGAAGGAAGTATCTGTTCAAATGGCTATTTTGTAATCCTGCTATTTTAAAAGAAATGCTATTGAAATCAGGAACTTTCTGTTGCTTTCTAGTTCATTTTTCATTTTAACGAACCAGAACTGAAATTGTACTTTGTTGCCCAATAAATCCACAGATATGAATTTTTCCCTAGCTGAATTTGTTTTACTGGTAGGTATCATGTTGCAGGAACTGTGGGTGTATACTTTGATCGTGAACCATATGCTAACGTTGATGCTCTACACGTAACTCGCTTTTTGGGCTTAGCTCCTGTTGGAAACAAAGATAAACAGGTACTACAGCCGACATTTGAGTTAAATTTCCTGCTAGTATTTGTAAAAGTAGCATCTTAAGCAGTTCTATCACAAATCGAGAATGTTTAATCAAACATTATTCACTATCTCTAATTTCGGTGGCTGTCGCACTTTAACCCACACTTTCTCCTCACCTCCCTCCCCTCCCACACCACCACCACCAAAAAAATATGCCCCATAGTTATGGTTGAACATGAAACTTGTTAATAGTAATTATATATACTCAAAATGCCATAGAAACTCTTAAATCTATTCATTTTTGTAATGAAATTCTGATCTAGCTTTCAATTCTTGAAACACCATTATAAAATATAAAGTGAATTTGAGTGAAGCTAGAAATTTCCTGAACTGCACACTTCTTTTAAATGGCATACAAGTTTATAACTGAAATGAAAGACTTCTGCTGAAAAATGCAGAACATATCTTCTTAGCTAAGACTGCATCTATTTCTCGGTCTTTAAATGACAACTTCTCTCCACGTGATTTTATGTCTACCTCAGCCCTCTATATCATTTTGAATCCTCATTTTATGCATGAGTTCTTTGCAGAAATTCATTCATGCGATATCCCCCACTCCAGCATCAACAATGTCGAAAACTGAGCTTAGTGCAAAGCCACCAAACGCTACTTCATGTCCATATACAAATGTTGACAAAGCAGCCCAACCCGATGGAGCCACAAAGAGGCCCGGTGATGGTACTTCTGAGTCACAGTATTGGAGGTATGATGTATCCAAGAAAAAGCAGAAACATGGAGATGGTGGTGGTGACAGACTCTGCTTTAAATTTGCCTCTTCTGGCTCTTGTCCAAGAGGAAACCAGTGCCATTTTAGACATGATGAAGAGGCTTCAGAACAATACTCAAGAGGTGTGTGTTTTGACTTTCTCAACAAGGGGAAATGTGAAAAAGGTCCTGATTGCAACTTCAAGCACAGCTTGCAGGAAGAAGGTGACAGATCAGCATCTGGGACAGCAAGCTCTAATAGGTTATCGAACTACTTGATTTTTCTTGATGACGTTGCAGTATCAATGTTTACTGGCTTGTGGGCCTTCATTAGTGCTCCCTTGCTTTTGTAGTAAGTTTTGTGGTAACTTTAACTGTTTTTCAGGTCAAGAGAATGCTGGTTTTGTTTGTCAAGCCCAAATGTTGAGTCACATCTCATCACTAGTGTCGGAGAATATTACTACTGTGCACTTGCTAAAGGACCTTTAACACCTGATCATGTGCTGATTATGCCTATTGAACACACACCCAATACGTTATCTCTGCCACTGGAATGTGAAAAGGAACTGGAACGACTTCAAAGCAGCCTCAAAGCTTACTTCAAAAAGCAAGGGAAGGAAGCAGTTTTCTTTGAGTTCGTGCGAGGAAGTCATGCCAATCTCCAGGTATGGAAAAATTGACATTCATGTATTGCTATGAATGTATTCCTATACTATACATATTATTTTAAAAAAGGGAAGAAAAAAAGGGTATGTCTCTACCACCATTCTGTTCTTAAAAATTGGCTTGTAAACATACTTAATTTACATGTTTTGTACTTGTGGAAAAAGGTTTTATGTAGCAGCTCCCACATGTATTGTTCTATTTGTGATCTCTAGCCTTAGAAACTCTGAATAAGCACAAAGCATCCTGACTACTGGGAATGATTAGAAAACCTTCCATAGAGAGCCATTATTTGATTTTTTTTTCAGTATTCATATCTTCGTGAAAGAGTTGTCTGTGTTCATCACTCACAGTGAGGCATACCCCATGAAGGACAAACATTTGGCTAACAGGATTTATATTGAAATTACGAGTGAGATCAAATCAAAGAAATATGTAAGAATAAAATATTTGTGGAAAAAAAATGTTCAATTTGTAGAAACTTGTTTAAACTTCAGTATGGTTTACCTAAACTGTGGTTGAGAAGAGAGATTCAAACAGGGATCAAACATGATTGGCACTCGTCATGCAGGGCTTACAATAAAGACATCCAAAAGGCAGAGCCTTAATTGCACTTTTTAGAAGTTAATATTTTGATTGTACACCTTGGATCAAACTGCAGCTGCCTCACCTTAATAGATCAATCTCCTTTTGTAACATTAATAATATTATGCAATTGTGTAATTGTCTCATGTCACAGTTCTTTATTCCATTAACTTTTCTTCTTTATTATTGCTTATTTACCATTATCTTAACCTCCACTCCTTGTGTCTACTGTAGGTTGTTCCTATTCCCTCGTCCAGGGCATCTGCGGTTCGAGATATTTTTAACTTGGCTGCTGACAAATTGGGATTTAAGCTTTCTATGGTTAAAGGTATGTTCACTTTATTGTATGAAGCCGTGGGGTCCTGAATCCCTGCCACATGCCCCAACCAAATAATAGAAAGAAAAATGGTACAGGTAGAAAAAATAATGTGGAAAAAACAGCTCAGTTGTTATTCATGCCTCAGCTTTAGCTACTTGTCCTTATCCTTTGATTCCTGGTTATGTATACAGACTGAGATGAGTAGTTTCTTCAAATGTCCTTACGAGCATGGCACCTGCATAAAGTGTACCCTAGGAAGGTTTTTATTTCCACCACTGTCTTAATACCAAAACCAAGAAAAAGAAGAAAAAGAGACTACAAAACTGAATATCATTTTCTTGAGAAGCTTTGGATGTGAACAATTTCTTTTGATAAGTTACCATATTTATATATGCCCAGCACATTTGGGTACATACTCCTACATTATATAGACCTATCTAGCAAGTTCTACTCTACCGATAATTCTAACCATTGTTATACAGTAGCAGTACAGATGCTAAATTATAAACCTCTGATTTCCTCATTCAATTATTTTCTTGTTTAGTCTCTGCTAATTGGAAATGTGGGTAAGCATGGTTGTGGGGAAAACGTCATGGATTTGAATATACTCCATTGGTGCTTTCATTGTTTTGTCTTTTAACTATCACAGATTGGCTTGCGTGAGAGCAATTCAGTCTAAGAGCTGACATGTTGGTGCTTTCTTTTTACTGCAGAAGGAAGACAAGCGTTGCGGACACAGTTCGACAGAAGTTGCAGCTTATTTTATGTTGAAGTTCCTGGAGGTGATATTTTGTCACATGTTATTGAGGAGAATGAAAAATTCCCAGCTCAATTTGGTCGTGAGGTAAGATGAGTCCACCTTTATCTAGTAATGTATCATTTATAGCTAAAAATTCGACAGGTGATAAACGCTTAGTTTGCATCCTTTTTTTTTTAATGTAAAATATGTCTTAACAGCTATACTTCCGCTTAAGTAACAGACGTAACATTCCATGAACGTCCCACAGGTTTTAGCAGGCTTGTTGAATATAGCAGATAGAGCTGATTGGAGAAATTGTAAGGTTAGTAAAGAAGAAGAAACTAAAATGGCTGAGCGATTCAAGAACGGATTTCAAGAATATGATCCAAATCAATAGCATAGCCGAGAAATATGCAACACTATATATCGAGTTCTTTCTCTCGTGTTCTTCATTATATGCAACTTCAACATTTCCTTGAGGTTCTCTCTGCTCCTGGCTTCAATCTAACTGCAAGTATCTGCAAATTCTTTACATGCACGTATTCTTGTTATGCTTGAACAGTCACTATATCATTTTCTGAAAACATTGTTGTCGTTTAACAGGACGCTGTTGTAACCGCCTAACCGGGCAGCAACAACATTGCTGCAATTTCCATGTATGTAACCCCATGTCCAGTTAGGCTATTGAGGTAGTTTTGTTCATGTATGAGCTTGTGAGTTTGTTTCAACTATTTGAGATAATGTAATACACAATAGTGACAGCTTCTTCTTTTTTTTTTTTCCTGAAGCAATTGTAACTTTATTGTCCACTGAATTGTTTTTTGTTTGTTAAAAATATTTGGATCCTTTATGAATTACAACTGTGGGATCTATTATATTATGTTCCAAACTTTAAAGAGTTATTTTGCTAAAGATTATCAATGTTTGTCTTCAAAACTCTTTTTTTCATGGTTACAAAAATAGTGGTTTATCAATTTTTTCTAACACTTTTTTTCGTTTTTCATTTGGTGTCTGGTACTCACATTAGAGTTTGACTGTTACAGATTTATACTGTGTAAGGCTACATTCAGGGATAAAAGCTTTTTACCAGAGATTTTTTCATATCGAAATTTGAATTCGAGATCTTTGATTAAGAATTTACAATAAAACTCTCTTGATATAAATTTGTTTTTTAGATACGGATTCAAGAGTGACTTCTTTAAGCTGCTAGGTGTACATGTTTTTTCTACAAAAACTATTTGACTTAATTTACTTTTCATTTTCGAAATTCAAGACTGTACTTCATTTAACGTACAATAGAATTGAAACATACTATTATAATTAACATACAATAGAATTGGAACATGCTATTATACAACAATTATGCCGGTTCTTACCAAAATATTTAAAAAACAAGTAACCATCTAATCTGATTCAAGAAATATCGAATTTTATAAATGAATATATTATCTATTAAAAAATAATATCAAAATAAATAATATGAATATCCATATTAATAATATGTTTTTAATATATTTTTTTCAAGAATCTAAACTTATTTTGAATTTTAGCCTGTGTTTAGTCGTAAATATGGGTAATCAAATATATTATTTTTGTTTAACTCGTTTTCGATCCGTCACTTTTGACCCGACCCGACCCGACCCACCATTTACCACTCCTCCTTTACTTAACTACTTGAAAAACAGATTCACAGCCGTAGTAGAGGCTTTCAACACTTCGAGTCTACGCGAGATCATCTCATATTCTCTCAAATTTATTGAAGAAATGGTATTCAATTTCATCTCCTTTTGTTGTTAATCTTACAGTTTTTGGTGATTTTTTTTTTGAAAATTTTGATGTGATTTTGTTGTATTTTTTTTTTTTTTTGGAATTTTTCTTGTGAAAGGCTCAATCAGCAAAACCGATCTCGAGTCCAGTACCTGATGCGTGGTACCCAACCCTAGCAGTGTTCATGCTTGCAATTGGTCTTGTTGTAACTGCTTCATTTTTCATGTAAGTCCTCGATCTGATCTTTTTCAAGCTCATAAAATGGTGGATTTTATTTATATTTTTGCAATTTTTTCATGCATTAGAAAGATGTGTTATTTATTTAATGTTGCTAATAAAATGGTGGATTTTGATATTTTTGTAATTTTTTTCATGCTTATTGATCAATATTGGAATGAAATTGACATGAATTAGAGTGATTTTGAGGGTTTTTTGCAGTGGATCTAATTAGATTAAGGGTGTGTTTGGCAGAGAATAGGGGTTGCAACAGTATGGTTGAGTGAAAATTGGGTGTTTTTGGTATGAATGTCCAAGTATTTCATGTTTGGTTGGTCAAAGTATTATCAGAAATATTTTCTCTAGAAAAACAAGTTGTTCAACAATATGGAAAATTGCTTTCCTAATAGAAGTACGGAAAAGATGTTTCTAGGTGATGTTTCGAGTTCATTGCCTCCTCTTCCTACTGACATAGCTTTTTGCTAGATTGCATAAAAATATTTGCTTATGCTACATGTATACAGTTCTGAGATTTTCCTCGCTATTACTGAAGGAGAGTATCTGAGTTATCGTTGATTGATATTTGATGGTATCAGCATCTGTGCGAAAAGATTGCTTTGTCAGTTTGTTGAAATGCAGTTGATTTTTTTTAATGAAATAGACTGTTGAAGATCTAGTTGCGTTTTGTGAGTAAGGAATTTAAATAACATATAATTGTTAATTTGGTTATCTTATATGAAGTACATGTTACTTTTGTTGAAGAGAACTCTCTTTGGTGGCTGGTTGTGTTAGAATAGCTTGGGCTTTAGGTGTGCTTGTTGACTGTTGTAGCTGTTTTTGTTAATGATGAAAGTTTGAGAACAGTTTACATCAAATAGGATAATAAATCTTAGGGGATGTTATCATTCTCTATGTTGCTTGGGCTCTTCAGAAATGTCAATAAGTGCATGTCGGATTAGCCAAAAGTAGTGTATTTTTGGAGAATCCGACACGGATGTGGTATCGAAAGTGGAGAGTACACGCAACTTAGATCATTCCTACTCCATACCCCTGGCATGAAGACATTATTCATTTTATGTGAATCACAACTAATGTTTTATAGCATCTTTTGGTTGTTGGAATTAAACTTGAAGGTTTGGGCCATTAACTTTTGGTCAATTTTATTTCGTGTTTAAAAATGTTACATGCTTGTATTAGATAAACTGTCTAACCAGGCAGAGTGAGATATTTTTCCTTCCTTCTCGAGGCGGAAGGATGTAGGGAATAAGTATGGATAGATTAAGCAACCTGATGGATTTATTTTCCCTTTTCCTCTGAAATACTTTAAGACCTTCCCTTTTCCTTTTTGAGAGAATCATGGAACTTATTCCAAGGTACAATTAGAGCTATCCTCTTGTATTTAATGTGAAGCTTTAAGATGAAAAATTCAAGTCACAATTACGGCTTAAGGGCTTGTAGGCTGTAGCTAACGTAGTCTTAATTGTTTGTCTTCCTCCATATGATTTCAAAATTCTTTGGCTTTGACGCTGCCTACCCTGTAAGTAATCACTCTTCAGAAGTCTATAAATTTACAATCAAAAAAGAAAACAGCGAGAAGTCTATACGACTTTAGAGTTGCTACTCTTAGATATGACCTATAGGAAAAAGTGGTAAAAGAAATCTTTTTTCTGTTACCCTAGAGCAAACTAGCAAGGTTAAGAGCTTGCCCTGGGGCATTTCAGATATTTGAGAGACATCACTTTCAGAAAAATCTGTTCTGTGACATACTTCTTGAAGAGTACAAAGTCTACATAGTGAACATGGATATCCAACTTTGCTGAGATATAATTCATGAATCATGGCAATTCTCCAAATCTATTAAATTATAATACTTCAACGAATAAAAAATATTCTCGGATTACTCATTAGACTATAACTTTACAATGTTAAAGAATAATAGTTTGCTGCATTTTTCTTTTTTTGCGGGTTCTAACTTCTACAAGTGCTGTTGTCTTTTCTTCTTCTAACAAAACCTATGAATATGTGACAGCTATGAAGCTACTGCTCCGAGGAAATACCGTAGTCTTGCAAAGGAGCTTGTAACAGGGACAGTAGCGTCTGTTTTCTTGGTACGTACACTAAAATGATTTGATCTGTCGTTTTTGCTAGTTCCTTGTGCTGACTCCTCACCCCGCATCTCATGCAGGGTTTTGGATCCTTGTTTTTGCTACTTGCTTCCGGCGTATATGTTTGATCCATCTACATGGATAGAGATATGAAGTTTTTTACTAATGTTTCTACATGAACGGTTTTGAGTACTGCTGTGATTTTATATGACTTATCGTTGAAGACCGTATCTATAGAACTGATTATTATCACCTAGTCTAGTCTGAGAATTTATTACTTAATGGCAAGCATTGGAGAACTAGTTGAAAATTTTCTGAGGTACAAGAAAATACTTCTTATGATCAATTACTTTATAGAACAAAAATGAGTGTATCCCTTTGTTATGTTTTTTCTTGAGCCACGGGTTTATTGGAAACAACCTCTTTACCTCCTGATGCAGGGGTAAGGATCCCTTTGCTTGGGTTTATTGGAAACAACCTCCTTACCTCCTGAGGCAGGGGTAAGGATCCCTTTGCTTGGGTTTACCAACAAAAAAACTATACAGTCGAAGTCTCTCTATAATGACGTTGTTTGTTTGTATATTTTTTTGGTTTGCTATAGCGAAATGTTATCATAGAGAGCATAGAATATAACATAATATGTAAAATTCATTTCAAGATACATTTAAATCGTATCGGTTATAATAAGATGTTATAGAGATGTCTGACCATAGATATAGTAATTAAATGATGCTACGTTTCTACTGCATGATGCAAATCATGCAAATAGTACACATATTAAGTAATTAGTTTTGTTTCTTTTCAAAAATTGAATTGTACTTGTGGAATTGCACGAGATAAGTCTAAAGTTTGAAACTCTTTGTCAACTAAAGCAGGATGTTTGTCTTTTAGATTGAGCTCGTCAAATCAAACTTGCCTAGTACACGTTACCTCTCCTGTATAGTTTACGAGCTATTGCATAGGAGCAAAGGTTTTCCCTTGTGCTGACCATAGTACCAGTTATCTCTATTATGTGGTTTGTGAGCTATTGCATATGACTTAGCAGCAAAGGTACCTAAAGATAGCGACGGTGGATTTTCCTTGTCATGAAAAAAATATTACATTGTATAAATTGTTGTATATGTGTATTACACTCTCATGTTCATTTGTCAATAATAGTTAAGAAAGCAAGAACCATCAAATTATAAGAAAGATAAATCTTTAATCCTCCTACTAATCAACAAATTGAAAACAAAACTAAATGAAAAGCTTCTTTAATTCCCTTTTTACTCTTTCAAATCCCCATCATACAGAGGGAGTATAACAAACACACAATTCCAAAATATGAAAAACAATAACAATAAGAAACTTTTTTCAGACATCAACACATTGAAAATACTCAAGAAGCCTATTAGCTTCTCTAAGACCAGTAAGATAAGCACCATGTGTTGTTGAATAGTAATTTCTACTTGTTGCTTCACCTGCAAATAAAACTTGAAGTCGAGGACTTTTCTTCGAATTTTTATCATCACTGATCTCTTTAGGCAATGGTTCAGCCATAGCATCCAAATCATCCCCACTTGATCCAACAGCTATATGAGTATATGATCCCAAAAACAATGGATCAGTACCCCATTTGCACTTCAAAACTTTACTGAACTTGATGGAGTTCTTGTAATGCTTTGTGTTTGATAGAAACTCTGACATTGTTATCGAGACCCCCTCGATGATCTCATCATCATCAAGAGTCTCAACCTTCAAAGCTTCTTCACCTGCAAACCATGATACCACAACTCTTGACTCTGGATAAACTGGATGTGTAAGTGTAGTCCTCCTTATCCACAAAGGGATTTTCGGATTCTTCAGCTTCGCGTTTGACTGATGAAAAACCATCATCATGTTAGGGAAATTCATCCCATCATGATGAGTTGGGGTAAGTTGCAAGAACACCTTATCAACAACACCAAAACCAAGTCTTGAAATGGCTTCAGTCTTGAACTTAGGAAGTGGAGGACTAAAAAGACTCGAGTCCTCGCGAATTCCTTGTTTTAGAACTCCTAATGAGACTGTAACAATGACATGATCAGCATACATAACTGATCCATCACTAAAATGCAACTTCACTGGCTTATTACCATCACTAGTTTCCAATTGCCATTCAATTTTCGAGACTTTTCGACCTAATTGGATCAAACCAGGTGGTAAAACAGAAGCCAAAGATTCAACAATAGATGAATACCCTTTGGCTATAGTTATTTCATCTCCAGGAAAATTACAATACTCACTTTCTCCATTGAAATCTAAAGTACCTAAATCACCAGCTGATGAATAATGCCTATGTATATTCTCAAACATAGCAAAAATACCTTCTTCAAGTGCTTTTCTACTCCAATTTTCAAAAACTTCAACATTTTCTCCATCTTTCTCAGTACTACCACTATCAAGATTGAAGCTTTCTACATTTTCTTGATCTTTCTCAACACCACCATCGTCAAGATTGAAGCTTTCTACATTTTCTTGATCTTTCTCAACACCACCATCGTCAAGATTGAAGCTTTCTACATTTTCTTGATCTTCCTCAACATCATCATCGTCAAGATTGAAGCTTTCTACATTTTCTTGATCTTTTTCAATACCAACATGTCCAAGATTGAAGCTTTCTACATTTTCTTGATCTTTTTCAGTACCAGCATGTTCAAGATTGAAGCCTTCAACTTTTTCTTGATCATTTTCAACACCACCACTTTCAAGATTGAAGCTTTCAACATTTTCTTGTTCTTTTTCAATGCCACCATCCTCAAGATTAAAGCTTTCTACATTTTCTTGATCATTTTCAAGATTGAGACTTTCAACATTTCCTTGATCTTTCTTTAAACCCCAGTAAAACTCTAGCCCTTTTCTAAGATAAGAACCCATACTAATCTTATCAACGCGACCATTCTCTTCAAGATTCAAGCTTTCAACAATCTTTCTACCAACCCCACCATCAAAATCTCCTTCACCAGACGAAAACTCCAACAGATTATTGAAAAAATTCGATATCGAGTTAACAAAGGATGAATGTACCTCATGTCCCTCTTCTGTTATAGTCAATTTTTTATCAACTTTACCTCCCATACTATCCCATGGCTTATCAGTTTCAAATCCATTAATTTCTTGAGCAATTTTGTATATTGGATTACCTTCAATCCCATGAATCCAAGTTGCACCCATTTCAACTCTATCACCACAAAATTCAGTAGTGAAAATTCTTCCACCAATTCTGTTTCCACCTTCTACAACACAAACCTCAAATAGTTCATTTGTGTTTTGTGTTGTGTAGAGCTTTTTAGCTGCTGTTAGACCAGCTATTCCTGCCCCAATTATAACAATTTTGGGCTTTTGAGACACCATTTTAGAGGCAAGACAAATCTTTTTTATCGATAACCTCAGAATAATCGATCGCAAAATAATGAAACGTTGTGAGTAATTAACTACTTGAGCAACAAGCAAATGTATATATAGGAGTGTAATCATAGTATTTTTTTACATAATTTTTACTTTTAGTCCCTCGGTTATTGGTAAATTCTTATAATGGTAATTAAATGATATAATTTTTTGAATATTCAAGAGTAAATGTATCAAAAGTGTATATTTCAATTAAATGACTATTAAAAATTGAAGGAGTAGATTGAAATAATCTATAAATGTGATTTGCAAACCATAATTATGGGGTAATTAAGTTGTTGGATTATTAGTTTTCAAATTTGGCAAAAGAATTATTGAAATATCTACAAAGGTTAATTAAAATATTTATTTTTTGATAATATATTAATTAGAAACATCTTTGGCAAAATAATAATTGAAATACCTCCAGAGTAAAAATAAAATCTTGTTTAAATAATTAAGTAATAATTTATTTTACATCTTTGGTAAGAAAATGATAAGTTTCTTTATCTTCATAGTAATACAATTTCATTTATTTATTTGTTTTGGTCAAGATACTAATATAACTAATTACTAAGTAATTATTTTTTGTTTTCGTATCAATTTAATGATAGAATGTATTTTTCAAAAGTCAAATACATAATACTTTTGGTCCATTATTCATTAATAATAACAATAATTATACCTCAATTTCAAAATTGCATTTAAAATCCTAAAAGCAAAACATTTGAATTTGCAAAATAAATTGACTTTTTTCAATAAGAATAATTGATATTTATAATAATAATTATAATCACACACCTCTCTTTCATTTTTTCCTCATTTGGCAATTATTTTAACTTGAAGCATTTAAATTTACTAAAATTAAATGATTTAATCAGGTGAGAATTCATGCACACTAATTAATCATGGTAAGTGTTAAAAAGTTGATGTACAAATATGTTTTATGCTTCTATTGGCTTGGGGTAACGTGATTAAATCTCGTTTATCATTCTACGTATTTTCGATCAAAGCTATTATTAATTAGTCGTTACTTTTATTTTTCTTTTATAACCATGATGTCAATCAATTTATGCACACCTCAATTAATTCCACGAATAATTTGTTATATAAAATGATTTTGATGGAGTTGTAATTGCTATATTAGCTTTCAACTTCAAATGAAACAAATCTATAATAGAATTCAAAACATTAATGTAAACCAAATTATACAAGGCTCTAACAAAAAAATAAAATGTTATAGTTTAGATTATATTTTTTTATTTTTGGTTCTCAATCCTCTTTTCGATACCTGCTTTGGAGCCCTAACTAGTGTAACTGGATTCGCGATGGAAAATCTCACTTTGAGGGTTAAAATACTTCAACTAAAAGCGAATCTAAACTCAAAACTCGAACCTGAAACATCTGGTTAATGAAAAAAATTGACTTTCTTGATATAACTTGTATTAATATTTCACGTAAACAAATTGTAATAATTGTATATAGTTACATGAAATTTATTTGTATTCTAATAGTATTTGGAAGCTGTACAATCTTCTTCAATCTCATAATCCAAATAACAGAAAATTCTGTATAAACTTTATAAACCAAAGTTTTACAAAGAATAAAGAAAATTCTCTGTAAATTTATATACTCCTTTTAATCAAATATTTCTTTATCTTCTAATGTTTTATTCAGCTGCAATTTGCAAACTGTAGCCTCCATTGTTAGCTTCGTGTATGTATTTTTCGGCGCGAATTCAAGCACCATAGTTACTGAACAAGTTTTACTGTCACAGTAGAAGACAATGGTAACAGAAATTTATGATTTAGACGCGACGTGATATACATAATTTTGAATCAGAATCAGTGTTCTCAAAGGCGAAAAGCATACCTTTTCGAGTTCTTTATCTTGATCTCCTGACTAGAGAAATTCCTGTTGGATTACCTCCCCATTCTTCGAATACTACTAACAAGTTTCCACTTGGTTTCAGCCACGATCGTGGAACATGGTACCTGAAATTTACAAGTTCGCGAAGTATCTTAATGCAAGTTGAAGGTAAAAAAAAGTATCACATTTCTTCAAACATGTTGCGTTTTGTTCGTCTGTGTGATCCTATGGAACAACAACAACATACTCAGTGTATTCCCGCAGAATGAGGTCTAGGGAAGGTAGAGTGCATACAGACTGTAGTTCTACCTCATGTGATCCTATAACTCCGTTAAAGGTTGTTGGAAATGTGCTTACCATCTCTGAGAAGGTTGTCCGCAGTTAGTCTGGCACTTCTTCTCGTTGAACGTTCCAGCATAACTGCATTTGCTGCAGTCGCCTTGTGCTATGTATCCAGGCCAATGGCGACCTACGCCTTCACCATTTATCCATATCTGACCTTTTCCCATACTTGCCATGTCTAAAGCTAGTGGATCATTTCCTCCAGGCGCGTTAAATGTAGCCTGGAAAACGTATGTTAGTCTGTTAACTATGTGTTACACGCTATTCAACTTCATATAATCGATAAACACGTGTTGATATGTAGTTTGTTGATGTTATACCAGTAGGAATTTACCTTGTACCAAGTCAGGGGCTGCTTTTGAGCCACTAGTGAACCTCGAACCCATTCAACAGAAGAACTCCCACTTAAGGAGTGAAGACTTAACGATTCGCCTTTCAGACCAACCTATGAACAAGCAAAGTATAGACTATTCAGGTATCAACAACAACATATGCAGTGTAATCCCACAGGTAAGGTCTTGGGAGGTAGAGAGGTTGTTTCCGGTAGACCCTCGGCTCAAGGAAAAGCATATCAAAGTTATACGAAGATCAGGCTTTAGGGGGAGAAGAGAAGCAATTAGTTAGTTAACATACCTTGTAAGACCATTTCTGTTTCGCCAAGTTTCTTGACCCTTCATTGAGACCGCTCAACGTGACTGGACCTAGAACTCCTGCATTCCATGTATCATAATGCACGCCAACGTTCTGAAATGTAGTTAAAACCATAGGTTATATTTTTTTTTAAAGGTTTGGTTATCGGTGCTAATAAAGGATCGGAGAAACAGGAAATAGAAAACTAACCGGGAGACCAACGGAAACACTGAGCAGAGAAATCTTGTTAATACCAGCTCTTAACTTCACGTTGCCACTGTATGTAAGTTTTGGATTATCCAATGTACCATAAACAGTTCCTACAACAATTCAAGGACAAAGAGATGTTAGGAAAACAGGAATAGACGTCAAAAGATGTACTCTGTCCGTTTCAATTTGTTTGTTTTACTATCCCTTTCTAGTCCGTTTCAAAAAGAATGTCTCTTTTCTTTTTTTAGGGCAACTCTTTGTTCTCTACTCCACGTGACATGTTTAAGGCCACAAGATTCAAACTTTACTTTCTTAAATTTCGTGTCAAGTCAGACAAATTGGAACTGAGAGAAGTAGTCTGTTAGGGAAAAGCATTTGCCATAATCCCAAAATAGTGTTGTTTCCGCTACCTGATAGTTTTCCATTGACGAAAACATGCAAGACATGACCAGCGGACATAACAGTGAGATAAGGATCCTTTCCGTTCTTTAGAAATCCTTCATTAGATGCTATATTTACACTGGAAAAAGTAACAAAAAAAGTCATTATGATATTAGATATAGATATGTGTGAGTGAAGACGGAACTAAATATAATCATTCGAAAAAAGTAGGAAAATGTAAGTTACTCACTTTGTCATGTACCACAGATAGTCTGATGAATCTCTTGTGACGTTTTTCTGTTCCCATAGTCCGTTAGCTGTAAGTGTATCGCTGTCATCAGCAGTAGGCGTTTCTTCATTGTATGACTGCCAAGACAATCCACCACCTGCAGGCGTCATCTTTATGCTCGAGCTTTGAGAGTTAACCTGCAGCATTACACAAGCAGACATTAAAACTTCTGGCCCAAATGCTTATACAGTCAAACCTCTCTATAACTGCCTCATTACAACATCATTTGTTTCAGTACTTTTGGGCTGCTATAGCAAAGTGTTGTTATAGAAAACATATAATATAGCATTAACATGAAAGATCGGTTCCACAAATGACATAGACTATGACAGAGAAATGTTGCTATAGAGAATGACGGTTATAGAGAGGACTGACGGTATTTATTTATTTAAACTATACCTGTGCAGTGTTGTAAACGGCAGTTTTGCAGTCGGGAAGAATGCTGATGGACCATGGAGGCAGATTGTATGGCCTATTCTGAAAGGTGACTTTTACTGAATATCTAGAGTCATAGTTGGATAAAAAAGCAGCACAAGCTCCAGATTTTGATCTATAAACATGAGCCTATATTGGTCAAAAAAAATGTAAACAGCGTTAGAAGAAAAATCACGACAATTACAACAACATATCGAGTGTAGTCTCACATAGTGGGATCTGGAGAGGATAGAGTATACATAAACCTTTCCCCTACCTTAAAGATAGAGAGGCTGCTTCCAATAGACCCTCGACTCAAAGGGAAAAAAAACAGACTAACCTCTTGATTACTTCCAAGACTAGTCACCGCAGCATATGATGAAACTAAAGCCGGTTCAGATAGCTTGATAGCTTTATGTAAGTCTCTCAAGTGCCCATACTTTGGTTCATTCAGCAACCCTTTTACACCATAACGCAAATCATCAAGACAAGCATGAATAATTTTTAGGAAATTTTCCATTATTTCCGTTCTGTGTTATGCAGATGTGGAGATACAAGAAGAATACTAGTTCTTGTTTCGTACCATATTCATCGAGAGGAGCATCATAATCGTAGCTAGTTGCAATGAAAAGCCCTGATGATGTCCGGCCAAAATTTGTTCCTCCATGATACTGAAGCAACCACAGTACATCAATACAATAGCCATGTTTAACGAGAAAAACTTGAACACGGAACCAGATGTTCTAACTTACCATGTAGTAATTGAAGAATGAACCATTGTTCTGAACAAACCTGGCAACTGAAAATGCAATGTCTTCGGCTGGTCTTTGAGGAATTGGACCACCGAATTTCGTATACCTGAGCATAGTAGAGAGTATATCATTAACGAACATTCGACTAAATAGAGTAGTTGAATGAAGAAACCAACTCAGAAGAACATAAACTGCATTAGAATCATGTAATTCGCGTTCTTGATACTTACCAGCCAGTCCATACTTCTGTCCACATTTTAGGTTTGTAAGGCTTATTAGGACGGAACCCTTCGCAGTAGAAGCCATTACAAGTATCAATCTGTAGCACAATCAAGACAATATGAGATGTCTAAAATGAACCTTGAAACAAGTCCTATATCAAATTGCTTACCACAGGATCAGGAGCATCCTCTTGCTTACACATGATCCATGGGACACCAGTTTTCAAACCTACAGCCATTTGAGCTGCCCATTTTGTATAAGCTTTACCAGGAGCACCAATTTCCCATTCTACTGGTCCATACTCATTTTCTATCTGCAACAACAACAACATCAACATCATAGCCAGTTTAACTCCACAAGTAGGGTGTACGTAGTCGTATCCCGACCTTGTGAAGGTAGAGAGGTTGTTTCCGATTGACCCCTGGCTCAAATGAAACTTGTAGAAAATGATGGAGAAAAAAACAGTAGCAACCACAAATAGTTTGATAAACAAAGCAAAGACACAACGAAGAGTACGATAGTAGGAGAATGGCTTATAATACTACTGATAAGGATTAAGGGAAAAACTAAACAACGTTCGACTACCTTAATCAAGAATCAGTGAACAAAACAACAATTAATTAAGAGGAGAAAAAAGAGCAGTAGCAACCACAAATAGTAGGGGAATTACTAATAATACTACAGGAAAACTAAACAACATCCGACTACCTTAATCACGAATTAGGGAACTAAACAACATTTCAAGGAAGAGAAAAGAACAGTAGCAACCACAAATAAGTATGATAAACGAAACAAAAAAAACTAAACAACGCTCGACTCCCTTAATCAAGAATTAGGGGGGAAAACTGAGACAAAAAATTCCAAATTCATTTCTATAAATAGTGTAAAGACAAGGCATGATCATAATGCAAACCTGGGCCATAATTATTGGTCCTCCTTGAGATTCAAACAAATTTTCTGACTTCATCATGTTGACTATTTTCTGAACAAATCCTTGCATAGCCACCTTTTATTATAGTCAACCAGAAACATGACAGTTCAGACTCAATATTAATAAAAAAAATTATGTAATTTTCTCTAATAATTCAATAAACGAGATAGTCACACATTTCAACAGAGATACTAGGTAAAACTCTGACCCCGCCACTCAAAATACATAAAACATGTCCACATGTTTCGGCTATAAAAAGAATTAACCCCACACGTGAAGAGTCGTTGTGACATGATATAATTAAGTACATTAACTTAAAACATATAGTCACTTTAGATGAGGTTGTCGTACATTTGAATATGATATCATAACAAACAAGTAGTCAGAAATAAGAATTAACCCCACACGTGAAGAGTCGTTGTTACATGATATACTATAACAAATAAGTGTACTTTCTGACATATTTCAATATGATATAGCTCATAAAAAAGAATTAACATGCATGCAAAGAGAGACGTTGTGCTCTTTCTAACAACTCAAACTTTAAGACGAATGGAAAGTTGGAAAAAAAAAAACCTTAAAAGGCTGATTGTTTGTTCTAAATTCCATACCAGGCACATATTTTAGCCAAACAGGGAATCCCCTGCATACAAATAACATAAAAACAGAGTATAAAACAGGGGAAGCTACAAAAAAAAAAGACACTAAAGCCAATCCTTTTACTCCTTTCGTTTTAATTTATTCGTCTTACTTTTCGTTTAAAAAAGAATCAACTTTTTTCATGTTTGACATAACAAGATTAAACAGCATTTTAATATATTTTGCATATTTTTAGTTTAAAATAATAAAATTCAAAAAAAAAAAGTCATTTTCTTGAACTCCGTGTATCTTTAGTAAACATACCCAAAGTTCCATTCAGCACAGACGTAAGGGCCAATACGTAAATTGACATAAAGTCCTGCTCTTTGTACCATTTTGATGAATCTAACAAGATCATATCTTCCTTCAAAATTATACTGAAAATTCAAAAAAAAAAATATGAAATTTTTTTTAATTCATTTTGGATATTAAATTGCAGAATCATGATATAAATTCAAGAAAAAAAATTAAGAAAAAAAAGACATTACTTTTCCAGGAGAAGGCTCATGTCCATTCCAGAAAACATAAGTTTCAATAACATCTAAGCCTCCATCTTTAGCCTTTTGTATAAGATCAGGCCACATCTAAAATCACCAATAGAAAAAAAAAATGACAATATATTAGAGTTTCAAAAAAAGTAGAGCATAAAAATGTAAAGTTTGAGATTTTTACAATCAAAAATTAAATAACAATACAAATAATAACAACAAAAATATACACAGTGTAATTTCATAAGCGGAGTTTAGGAAGTGTGGCGTGTACATAAGTGAAGATAGAGAGGATAACTTCGATAGACCCTCGACTCAACTAACACAAACAACAATAATAATAACAACGACATATCCAGTACAATTCCATAAGCAGGGTCTTTTTACCTTTTGTTTCCTACATACCTTTGACTTAAGTAACGCAAAACAACAATAATAACATACTCAGCATAATCGCATAGGTTTATAAGAAAGGGGTAAAGAAAAGATTTTTAGAACCAAAAACATTAAATAAACAGAAAAACAAGTGTAAAGTTCATACTTTTAGAACTAAAAATCATAACTAAACAAGTATTACAGAAAAACAAGATAAACCCATTTCACAGAATCCATAAAAATGTATAAAGAAAAGATTTTTAGAAACTTAAAAAATTACAGAAAAACAAAACACACCCTTTTTACAGAAGCTATAAAAAAAAGCATAAAGTTTGCATTTTTAGAACCAAAATGCTTTTAAAAAAAAACAAGAATTACACAAAAACATGATACACCCATTTCTAAGAATCCATTAAAATGTATAAAGAAGAAACTTAAAAAATTACAGAAAAACAAAACAGACCCTTTTGACAGAAGCCATAAAAAAGCATAAAGTTCACATTTTTACAACCAAAATTCTTAAAAAAACAAGAATTACAGAAATACAAAGCACACCCATTTCACACAATCCATAACAAAGTGTAAAGAAATGATCTTTACAACCAAAAACAAGAAAATAATGAAATAATACAATTTTTTTTGTATATAATTTACCTGTGGAGTGCTTCTTGGATAATGAATTGAACCAGAAATAAGAATTTTTCTTTTCCCATTTATGATTATAGCTCTGTCATCATAAGAAACACTAGCTTTCACTGAAGAAAAAAAATCCAATAAACAAATAACTAATAACAACAACACATTAGTCCTTAGCATTTTTTCCACATTCAAAAAAAATGAATTTTTTTTTATTTTAGAAAAAAAATTGAAACTTTTTTTCTTGTCTCTTCTCTATTGATTCTTTTGAGAAAAATGAAATGTGTAAACATATTTATACAAAAAAAAAATCACTGTGTGTGTTTTTTTGTGTGTTTTTGGTTGCAACTGCTATTTTTATTTTATTTTATATATATAAACAAAAACAAAAAAAAAGTAAGAGAAAAAATTGCCCAATCCCTTAAATGGGGCCCAAAATTTGACCCAGCACTTTAGATTATCCAATTTATATATTAATTTGCATTTAATGTTTTAATTTCTTGTTTGAGTTAATTTTGGAAGTGAAATAATGTGATTGTTATATATGTACATAGTAATACTTAGACTGATTTTAATTATAAATTCATTATATTTTAAAATTCTATATATAAATTAAAAGGAAAAGGGATAAATATACATCGAACTATCGTAAATGGTATGCAGATATCCTTCGTCGTACTTTTGTGATCCTGACGCTCCTGCCGTCCAAAAATAGAGCATATATTCCCTTCACTCTAACGAAGTACTAAATAGGGACACGTGGCATAATCTTATCCGTCGATAAATGTCGGATCGGTAGATAAGAATATGACATGTGTATGTTTGTTAGTATAAATGGTATAAATGTCGGATAGATAGATAAAATTATGACACATGTATATCCGTTAGTATATAGGATATATATGCTTTAATTCTTTGACGACAGGGACACTAATGTCTCAAAAGTAGATATATATATCATTCTTTCCTAAATTGAATTCAAAATAGAATTACCAATACATATATTATTATATATCTTAATATTTAGAATTAATAAAGTTTAAATTACTTTATCTATGAATAGGAAAATACTTCACTTATGATAAGGGATTGCACTTTTTTGGGTGGGAATAACATACTTTGGTTATCTTTGTAAGCAAAAATGAAAATACCTTTTTCTCAATAAAGAAAGGAAAAGTTATATATATAGTTTTAAAAAAATAATAATATAATTGTAATTGTTGTTTCTCTAAGAAAAAAAAGAAAATAATTACTATAATTAAGGACAAGTATTAGATGGAGGGTCACTATGACAAAAACAATTATTATTGTTTCTTCTTCTTCTTTTGTAATTATTTAATTAAAGAAAATAAACAAAATTGTTGTGATGTTGGACATACTCCAAATACAATAATAACAACATATTTAATTTAATTTTATAAATGAGGTTCAAAAATGATAAATGCACATTTTCGATGCTTTAAAATATGGATATTTGAATTGCTTGAATTATATAATAATCGAACGCAAAACGAAAAATTAACTATCGAAAATGACATTGAAGGGTTCAACTTATATATTCCTTCTTTTCTCTTTTACTATAATTTTATACATTAAAAATATATTTTTTTTCTTGACTAGTCATTTAAGCAAATTAAGAGAGAAACATTTAGTTTTTCTTTTTTTAAAAAAAACATTATAGCCTTATTATTAATTAATTATTGAAGATTAATAGATAAAATTTAAATTTGAAGCGAATCTAGATTAACATAAATATTTACGGAGCTTAGTTTTATCACACATTTAATATAACATTTGAATTTTATATGTACATCTTCCATCACGATTAATCAGTCTTGTATTTTTGCGTTTGTAATATATTCAACAAATTAATTTTTACTGTTTAAAATTAAAATTAAAGTATATATTGCACGATAACGATTAAGTGATAAATAAATGTGTGAAAAATATATCTTTTATATTTATTAATTTAATATAAATATCGAGCGAGAATAAAATTATTTTTTTTGGTCCATTCTTCATGAAACAAAAAGCAAAAGAAGAAACAAACCATTATGGTCCCTTTTCTGAATCCTTAAGAATGTAATACTTACAAGGGAGGAAGATATCATTTTAATTTACACATAAAGCCACCACACTAGTAAGAGTGTGGTATCTTCAAATTTTAATCATATAATAGCAAACAAATAATCTAAAATAAATGGAGTAGCTAGGATCTGATTTAATTGTGTTCCATAGCAAACGTTTGCAAAAAATTGTCAGAAGCCTCTCTCCTAAATATCTCGCTCGCCACTCTCCTTCAATCTCTCGCTCGCTTCCTCACTTTTTATAAAAACACAAGTGTATAAAAATTGTTTCTAATTGTATTAAGCAGTGAAAATTGTATAAATACATATATTTTTGTTCCCCTCTCTCTCCTCTTCCAGATCTCGCTCACCACCCTCTCCTTTCTCACTTATACAAACAGAAGTGAAATGTATAAATTGTGTTTCTGTTTGTATAAGGCGTGAGAAAATTGTATATACACATGCAAGTACATATATTTTCGTCCTATACACTTATGATTATACAATAAAAATACTCCCTGCCCAGTTTCTTTTGTCTTTCTCTCTTTCTCGTTTTATACAATTTTCAAATTGTACCTAATTTCTCTCTTTCTCATTTTATACAATTCGATTTTATTTTATATTCCTTACCAAGTCTCTTTTGTCTTTCTCTCTTTCTCATCTTATACAAATTCAAATTGTATATAATCGTTCTATACACTTATAATAATACAATTCATTTTTTACAATTGATTTTTATAAAATTCTCTGCCCAAGTATCTTTCTCTTTCTCGTTTTATACACTTCGTTTTATACAATTTGCTTCAACTGTATATGTATAGCGAATTATACAGTTTCCATGTTTGTTATGGAACGCAATTATGCAAACTTTGTTATAGCATACAAATATAAATTTTTTATTTGTTATATGTGAAATTTATATATATATATATAT